ACTACGAGAATGGACCTAGCAGAGGACCGCAACAGACGCACTAACTTAAAACTGAGGGGGATACCGGATAGTGTGGACTCCACAGAACTAACCCACTACTTCAGACGTCTCACAGCCACGCTCCTACCGCACGCCCAAGCCAAAAAATTCACACTAGATGGCTTCTTTAGGATCAAAAAAGCAAGACAAGCTCCAGCCACAGCTCCACAAGATGTCATCATTCGGTGTCACTCAGTGGCAGACAAAATCAAGATCCTTACAGCAGTCCGGGGAAGGACACCACTTGCATTTGAATCATCCCACATTACCTTCTATCAGGACTTAACAAGAAACACGCTGTTGTGGCGCAGGTCCCTGGCACAAGTGACAAGCAGTCTGCGCGAAGCTAAAATTGAGTACAAATGGACTCTACCAAGGACTCTGACTGTTACCAAAAACGGTACCACACACAATCTATCCTCACTACAGGAGGCAGAACAGTTCCTACGCGCAGTGGGGATTCATGCCGGATCCGCAGCACAAGAAACTCCCACATCTTCGCACACCTGGGATCCTGACAGAACAACTCCATTCATCCCCAGGAATAGAGAACACCGGAGAGAACCGACCTGAACTGTAAAAATTGTAGCCAACACGCATACAATGCATTAACTGGTTCCGGCCTCGCCTTCTGTTTTACCCTTAGTTTCTTATGTTGTTTTCACTGTTTAAGTTTCTCAATGTATTACTGTAACATATGCACTTATACGACTAACTATACGCGACATTATAACTGCTGCCGACATGACATCAGACAAGACCTACCCTGAAAAAGCTCCAGGGAGAATACACCTCCTCCCACCCCCCCCCATGACCCCCTTGGTAAGGAGTCAATTCCCAACCCACTGGACGATCGCTGAGGCACACATAGGCTCAAAGAGCGACAACCCCCATATACAGGTATACCTATACACAACAGACACGCGCTGACACACGCGGACTTCATAGCACTCACCTGTGGACACGCACATCACTGAGGACAACCATTCGTACACACAATTAACCCCTTCCAGGAACATGTAAGGGGGCACGAACACGCAACCAACCAACCCCAAATAGACAACCCTTGGGTTCTTTACCCCCCCACACCAATACAATCCTAGCACTGGAGGAAAAAAAGACACACTCAAAAATTACTCCAATGTTGCCTCAGTTCGACACCAACTGACCCACAAATTATTTTAAAATGTGCAGAACTAGCTGACACCACAGATTAGAATCGACAGACTACTATGTATGCCTAAACTACGTTGTGATGTCATGAACCGTTTTGAAAACCCGGAAGGCTGTTGTGGCCATACGGGTAGTTATGTAACTAACCTTGCACGCAAAAATAAAGAATTGCAAAAAAAAAAAAAAAAAAATATATGTGTAAGCTTCAAATGTATTCATAAAACAACTAGGGGCTTACTTAAAACCTTTATTTAAAACACATTGAAAGTCATTTCAGTGTTTGCAGATGACACAAAACTCTGTAAAATAATACAATGTGAGCAAGATATTACTTTGCTGCAGATGGATTTAGATATACTGGGGGACTGGGCACTCAAATGGCAGATGAAATTTAATGTCGAAAAATGCAAAGTTATGCACTTCGGCGTAAAGAATACACAAGCAACGCATACCCTTAATGGAAGCGAATTAGGGATAACAACACACGAAAAGGACTTGGGAATTGTTATAGACAACAAACTATGCAACAATGTGCAATGTCAATCAGCAGTGGCCAAGGCCAGTAAGGTATTGTCATGCATGAAAAAGGGCATTCATTCTCGGGACAAGAATATCATTTTGCTTCTTTATAAATCACTGGTAAGACCACATATTGCAAATGCTGTGCAATTTTGGGCACCTGTTCTAAGGAAGGACATTATTGCACTAGAAAAGGTGCAGGATCGGGCTACAAAATTAATAAAAGGAATGGAACATATCAACTATGAAGAAAGGTTAAAACCTATTTAACAAATTTAAACCTATTTAGTTTAGAAAAACGTTGCCCGAGAGGGGATATGATAACATTATACAAATATATTCGGGGCCAATACAAACCATTGTGTTGAAATCTATTCACAAACCGGACTTTACATAGGACACGAGGCCATGCGTTTAGACTGGAAGAAAGAAGATTTCGTCTAAAGCAAAGGAAAGGTTTTTTTTACTGTAAGAACAATCAGGATGTGGAATTCTCTGCCTGAAGAAGTGGTTTTATCAGAGTCCATACAGATGTTCAAACAGCTACTAGATGCATACTTGCAAAACAGAATATTCAAGGATATAATCTTTCAATGTAGGGTAATAACTGCTTGATCCAAGGATAAATCTGACTGCCATTCTGGGGTCAAGAAGGAATTTTTTTCCTAGCTTGTTGCAAAATTGGAAGTGCTTCAAACTGGGTTTTTTGCCTTCTTTTGGATCAACAGCA